TGTCAGCGGGGGAGGCCGGGTGGGTCCAGGAGAGGCAGGGGGAGGGGCCCTGAGTGGAGTCTGGGGGTCCGCTTCCCAGGTTGCACCTGCTCACACACCTGTTGGGCCCGGCGCTGAGTGTGGGCCGGGAACTCCGGAGGGGTTAGCCAGAGCCCTGGCGCCTACCGTGGGGTGTAGGAGGGGGTGGTGGGGGCTGCTCCCTCGGCCCCTGAATCGGGAAGCTTCGCGGGGGAGAGACAGTTGGTCTGACTCTTGAAGACGGAGAAACTGTCCAGAATGGTGTTTCAGGCCCGGAAGCAGCCTGTCCGTGTAGGAGCTATAAGAGGGCTCCGGAAGGAGAGGTGTTTGGGGTGGCCGGTGCTGGGAGGGGTGAGGCTGCCGGAGGTGGGAGGCAGGGAGGCTGAGCAGGGCTGGATGGGCCGCGGAGGGGCCCTTGCTGGTCAGAGGGAAGCAACCGCAGGGACCCCTTACTCCCATCTGTAATTCACGTCCCCTGAATAGACTCTTCCCCCTGGGAGGCAACTCCTCTCTGTGAAAATAAAAGGGACAGTTTGTGGCACCGCCCTCTACAGTTTACACGGTGCTGTCCTTCCCCAGTTCCCCGTCTTTCTTTATCAGCCCTGTGAGGTGGGACTTCTCAATCCCATTTTACAGATGAGGAAGCTGAGGCTCATAGAGAGGGAGGGACTTGCCCAGGGTGACCAGCTAGTCCTCGGTAGAGCGAGGCCTGGAATTTCCCTGGCCCCGGATGCCCGACCCTGGAGGTTGAAGGGAAGGAGGGAAGGTTTCGAGCCCCAGGGCCCACGTCCTCCCGGGGAGGGGCTGGCTCTGTGCGACCCAGATCGGGGGACAGGCCCAGCTGTTGGCATCCTGGGACCCAGGCAAGCCCTGCCGGGCTGGCCTAGCCTCTGGGGTAGAGCCCCTCCCTGGGTGCACGGGGTGGGGGTCGGACCCGAGGGAGCAGGAGGGACCGGGTGGCGGATTTGTGTTTCCACTCGATTTCCCCGGTTGTTTTTCCGAGAGCTGTGGCAGGATCCCGAGGGGCGGGGCGGAGGCGGGGAGACCTCAGGAAGGCGCCGTGGCCCCCGCTGCCCGCCCCCCATGTGACTCCTCTGACTGACGACAGCGCCACATGGAAGGGCCTCGAGGCTTCCGTCCTGCGCTGGCAGGACGAATGTGTGACGTGGGCCAGGGCACTGGGCCCACACTGGGTGACTTCCCGCGTGACCCGCACTGACTCCGGCGCACTTTCCATCGGGGGCTGACCCCTTTGGCTGTGGGGTGAGAGAGACCCGTGACCGTCGCCTGACCCCCCACTCCCAGCACAAGCCCCAGGGGCAGGCACCTAGGGCCAAACCCGGACAGGGCGCGGGGAGGGGGGGGCGGGGGGGCGGTTGGGGGGTGAGCGCTGAACGCCGGGGCTCTGTGCGGTGACTCCCCGGCTCTCCCAGCCCCTCCGACCTCTCCAGATGCCCCTTCGCGGCTCGGTCTGTGGTCCACAGCCGGTTCCCCTTCCTCCTGCGGCCCCCCGCCCCCAACACCATTTCGGGCCTGCTGCCTCGCCACAGGCCGTCCGTCTCTCGACTTCCCCGGGCCTGGCCACGCTGGGCTCGCTGTCCCCACTGGCTGCCTTTCCTGCCTTCCAGAACTGCCCGCACCCTGGTCCGCGAGCCCGAAGCCCGGCCTGGACCATACTGCTGTTTCCCTGAGGCTCACTTTCCTCCTCTGTAAAATGAGTATAATCATAGTTCCTTCCTCCTGGGACTGAATGAACTACTCCCAGGGGAGTGATTCTCTACCTGGCCTGGGGTGAGGGAGGGCTTCTCAGAGGGGCCGCAATGCGTGGCTCTGGACAGCGACTGGCCAGCAGAGACACGTGGTGGAGACCAGGAGCTTTAAGCGGAGGCTGGGAGGGGGTGGAGGTGAGACTTGGGGTCCTGGCCTGGCCTGGGGGGCTATCTTGCCTCTCCAGCCTCTCACTTCCTGCTCTGCAACCTGGTTCCCTGCTCTGTGCCTTTTTTTTTTTTCTTTTTTAATTTTTTTTTTCAACGTTTATTTATTTTTGGGACTCAGAGAGACAGAGCATGAACGGGGGAGGGGCAGAGAGAGAGGGAGACACAGCATCGGAAACAGGCTCCAGGCTCCGAGCCATCAGCCCAGAGCCCGACGCGGGGCTCGAACTCACGGACCGCGAGATCGTGACCTGGCTGAAGTCGGACGCTTAACCGACTGCGCCACCCAGGCGCCCCCCTGCTCTGTGCCTTTAACTTGGGTGGTTCCTTCTGCGTACAAGCCCTGCCCATCCCTGGAAATACCAACTACAACTGGGAAGCCTTCCCCGCCGAGGCCATCTCCCTCTCTCTCTTTTGTCAGCCTGTCGTAGCAACCATGGTGAGGGATTATCTTGTAAATGGTGCCCGGGGCCTGGAACCACCCATAGCAGCCTCCCATATGCCCGAACCTTCGCTAGGGTTCTAAGGGGCCAGGGCCAGGCAGTTGATGCAGAGGTCCCAGAGGCCAAGGGACCCACAGCAAGTTGGTGGGGGAGCAGACAGGGACACGGCACTCACTTGCACTTTCTCTCTCTGTCTCTCCCTCGCTCTCTCTCTGCCACCTGCACCCCCCCCCCCCCGCCCGCAAGTGCCGAGATCCAGGCTGGGGCCTAGTAGGGGCATATTTCCTCTCTCTTCACCTGGAACTCCAGAGTCCGTCCTGCTTCTGTCCGTCTGGGCCATGCAGCCTTCCTTCCCCACCCACCCCGGCCTGTCTGCTGTCGGAGGGTCCCCCGATATTGTCGCCAGTTTCAGAAGCCACTGTCCCTCTCCGGCCCACATCACTCCGGGCACTTGACTGGGGCTGAGCCGAGGTACCCACAGTTGTACTGGGAGCACACAGAGGGTGCAGGGAAAGCCCTGGCATTGGGGGTAGGGAGGCGCCGCCCCTCCCCAGGTGGTGACCGGGTGGCGACGGTGAGCCATCACTCACCTCTTCGAGCCCCAGTTTCTGCCCCCAGAAGAATGAACTGCTGCTTTAAAAAAAAAAGGTTTATTTTTAATCTTTATTTATTTTTGAGAGAGAGAGCGAGTAAGCAGGGGAGGGGGAGAGAGAGAGAGGGGACACAGAATCCAAAGCAGGGTCCAGGCTCTGGGCTGTCAGCACAGAGCCTGACGTGGGGCTCGAACTCACGGAAGCAACTTCATGACCTGAGCTGGAGTCAGATGCCCAACCGACTGAGCCACCCAGGCGCCCTGAACTGCCGCCTTTTTATGCACGCATCAAACCTGCAAGGTGTGTGTGGTCTTACAGATGAGGAAACTGAGGCTCTGGGAAGCCAGGGACCTGCCTGAGGTGGGAGGCGGGAGGTAGGCCACCAAGCCCCTGCTTTGCTGGGCCATTTGCAATAGCACAGCACCGTGTGGGGCTCAGGGGGGCAATGTCCTGAGAGTTCTTGGTGAAGCTTTAAAAACTCCCCGAAGAAGAGGCTTTGTTCTTTTTTTTTTTTTTTTAATTTTTTTTAACGTTTTATTTATTTTTGAGACAGTGAGAGACAGAGCATGAACAGGGGAGGGTCAGAGAGAGGGAGACACAGAATCTGAAAACAGGCTCCAGGCTCCAAGCTGTCAGCACAGGGCCCAATGCGGGGCTCGAACTCACGGGCCGAGAGATCATGACCTGAGCCGAAGTCGGCCGCTTAACCGACTGAGCCACCCAGGCGCCCCGAAGGGGCTTTGTTCTTAAACCAGGGTGTCCACGGCCAAGTTCACCCTCCCAATGGTTCCACTGCGGGGGCCTGGAACCCCACCATTATGAACCACCCCTGGGGGCAACCTTGTTCTCTTTAGGAACCTGCCTGTTCCCAGCCTTAACATATAGCAGGCGCTAGGTCAACACTAATTCAAAGAATGACTGGACCATACTTGTGAGAGGGTGGGCAACGTGGGGGGGAGTAGCCACCAGGGCTGGGAGCACATAGGGCTTGGGGGGCTGTGGCAAAAGCCCTGGCAGGTCTCTAGCCCTCACCCTTGACCTTCTACAGTTTATTTCTTGCATGGCAGCCAGAATGTCCTTGTCCAAATGGAACTCAGACCACACCCCTGCCCCTGCCCCAAGCTCCTGTGGGACCCTCACGTCTAGGCTCCTCTATATTCCTCCGTGATCTGACCCCCTTTCCTTCATCTCCCCTGGTCCCTCCGCTCCCCTCACTCTGGCCTCCTCTCGGCTCCTAGAATCCCCAGCACGTTCCCTCTCAAGGCCTTCCCACGTGCTGCTCCCAATGCCTGGAACATTCCGCTCCCAGATACTCTTGCTCTCTACATTCGGATCTTTGTCAAATGGCACACACCCTTCCAGGGGCCTCCCCTGACCACCGTGTCTGATGTATGCCCTTCCTGTCCCTCCCTCCCCTGACCCGGCTTTGTTTGTCATCGTAGAGCCCGTGGCCACCTGACAGTCGCTTGTATATTCACTTGTTTATCGTCGATCCTGACAAGAACATCCTCTCCGCGAGGGCAGGGGTGTCTGTTTTGTCCACTGCTGTAACCCCAGAGCTGGGACAGTGCTGGGTACATGGCTGGTGCCCAACTCATATTTGTAGGAGGAGGGAAGGAGGGAAGGGAAGAAGGGAGAGAGGGAGGAAGGAAGGAGGGAGGGAGGAGGGAGGGAGGAGGGAGGGAGGAGGGAGGGAGGGAAGGACCTCTTTCTTCTGCATATCCATGGAGTGCCTCCCATGTTGTGGCCCTCTGTTAGGTGTTTTTAGAATGAGAGCATCAGCAGAGGGGACAGTAGCTCCCTTGAGCCCAGCTGACCCCAAGGTAGCAATGGTCATTTAGTGAATACATACTAAGTGCCCAGAGCAATATCTCTTCTTATGTGCGTTATTAACCGATGGAGTCTCTAGGAGCCTGAGAACCAGGGCTGGTGGGTGGCAAGTGGGGGAAGGGGAGAAAGCTGGGTAGGGATGAAAGAGATTTAATTACATTTTAGGAAAAATTTTCTAATAGGCAAAACTGTGCACCAATGGAAGGGACTTCCCGAGGAGGAAATATGCTCCCTGTCAGCAAAAGGAGGCAAGTGGAGGCTGGGTGGCTCTGGAACCCGAAGCAATCAGCCCTAGGACCCGAAGCCAGAAGATGTAAAGATTCAGGGGAGTCCTCCCCAGGGTTGGGGTGGGCCAGGCCCTGGAACTTGGAGTAGGCATGGGTCACCCGTCTGACCAGACCCAGGCAACAGAGGCCATGGCTCCAGTCCCTGGGTCCAAAGGCTTCTGGGACTTGGCCAAGCAGCCATATTGGGCCTCTGGACCTATGAACCACAGACTAGGCCTGGGAGACAGGAAATGGCCCTGCTCAGGGCCCAAAAGCCCCCTTAGCATACCCTCACTCCCTCCCCGCCTCCCACAGTGGCCTCAGGCCCCTGCGCCCCGCGCCCATGGGGTTAAATCTCTCCCTGTCTCTCTCGGCTCCAAGTTGTTTTCCAAGTGAAGCAGAGAATGGTTCTCTTGTTACCAACATGGCTTCTGGGCATTGGGTAATGCGCTCCCTCTTCTCCCGGCTCCGCTCCACAAAGGGACCTTTTGTTCCTCTCCCTGCCCCTCTCTCTGGCTCTTCCCCGGCCCCCCACCCACCCCAACTCCCTCCTCCCCGCCTCCCGCCCCACACTGCACCCCTGGGCTGTGAGGAGTGACCCTGGTCTGGCTGTGGTGCCCTCCCTCTCTCAAGGCGCCCAGGGAGGAGAAGGGGCCTTGTGGCCGCGGCGGCCATTTTGAGAGCGGCCATTCCAGGCGGTCCCGGGCTTCCGTGAGGCTTGCGGGGTTGGGGAGGCCACAGTGGGGTGGCTGGGGCTCAGCAGGAGGTCTTGTGGTGCACCTCCTGTCCTCCAGGGAGTGGGGGGAGGGACCCTCCCACCCACCACCCTGACCCGGGGCCGCCTCCTTGCACTGAGACAAGACACCTTCCCATCCACCATCTCGCTTGACCCGCACAGCAGCCCAAGGGGCGGGAGTGACACCCCGTCTTCCACAGGTGGAGACTGAGGCTCAGCGGGGTAAGTGTCCTTCCCCACCAGGGGCTCAGTGAGCAGGTGCTGCAGCTAGACGGAGCTGCGTGCTCCTCCCCTGAAACCTCTCCAGGAAAGAGCCCTCAGAATGTGCCCTGACCCATGGGACACGCCGAGCTGGATCTGGGCCACCAGAGGAAGCCTAAAACCAAATTTACTGGATTTGTTTTTTGCAAACGGAACAGATTGTGCCCGAGATGGGAGTGTCAGGAAGCCAGTCAGATACTGAAGTGTCTGCTCTCAAGGGAAGACGGTCTCTGTCCACTGTCCCCTCCCTTGCCTCCTCACAACAGGCCTGCAAGGCAGGCAGGGACAGGCTGACGACAACATTTTTCAGATGAGGAAACAGGCCCAGAGAGAATCCAGGGCCAGGACTCGGCGCTCACCCGGTTAGATTCCAGCTCTGGTTGTTGTCTCTTTCCGGGGCCGCTCCCCACCCCTCGAGAGGCCCAGGGACTCGGGGAGGGGACTTAGGTGGGTCACAGCAGCCCCAGCCACCCCATCTGCAACCACAGGAGCCAGAGCCTTGAGGATGTTGTATTCAGGTGCCTCAACATCCATTGATTCCCCCATCACACTCCGTTCCTGTGTCTACAGAGATGTGAAACAGAGCACCCGCGTGTGGCCGTGATGTATATTCCCCTGTGACCACTGAGCTGGGTCTGGGGCCTTCGGGCCACTGCGAGAAGTAAAATGGGTAGATTGGGGATGGGTGGATGGGCAGCTGGGGGGAACAGAGAGGGCACGAAGATTTATCCAGAGCTGAATACACCCCCCTGGGCCTGCCCTCAAGGAGCCACAGTACAGGAGGAGAGCTACATCCGTAGAGAGCCAGTGGGCTGTCAGAGAGGGGGCCTGGGAGCTCACCGCTGGCTGGGAGGTTGAGGCAGGAAGGCTTCTTGGAGCAGGGGACCAAGGACAGAGCCTGAAAAGACGAGGATAAGTTAACCAGGCAACGAAATTGAGACGGAAGGTAGGAGAGGAGCTGGCAGAGGGGGTGGGGCTGGGGCTGAGAAGAAGGTGAATGGTGTGCGATGGGGTAAAGAGGCCACCCGTGTGCCAGAGCAGAGTGGGGACGGGGAAGGTGGGAGAGGTGGGTAGGGGGAGGAACCACGTGGGCTGCCGAGGGTAGTCAGGGGGGCTCCTGCTGTGGATGCCCTGATAAGGTACACGGACGAGGTCTCGAGGGATAGTGGGGTGGTCGCTGAAGGATTTTAAAGGGGTCAGGGCTGGGTCTGTGCCAGTCTGGTTTATTACTGTTTTCCCAGCGCCCGGCTCAGTGCCCGGCATACAGCAGGCGCTCAATAAATGTTTTGGATCAATGCATGAATGCCGCCGGTATACCCTGAGGTAGTGGTTAACTCCAGTCGCGGGGTCTCGGGCCTCAGCTCCCTCGTTTGTAAAACGAGGGTAACAGCCCCTGTCTCTGGGGGTGCCGAAATGGTTGAGGGATGGAGCTCGTGGCAGGACTTTGCTCAGTGTCCTGCATGGGGTCACGCTCCATGACTGGGGCCTTTACGACACGTGTGCAGATGTGCTGTGGGCAAGACAGGGGCAAGGACCGGGTTAGAAGCGGCCGAGTTGTCCAGGTGCGAGAGGATGCGCCAATGGCCACGTCCACCAAGGGCTTACGCTGTCCATACATTCTCTCATAATCCCGAAAACAAGCTAATGGAGAAGGCATTATGGTCACCCCTGTGTTGTTGTCCAGGACACCGAGGTGCAGCGAGGCGACGCGATCCGCCCGAGACCCTGAGGCTGGCGAGCCGTGGACGGAGGCCAGACGCCAGCGCCCAGCCTGTGACCACTGAGCTGGTGACGGAGACTGCTTAGGTGGGAGGTCACTCCATTTCCCGAGCGAGGGACACAGCGGGACGGGCTGGCTCGGGGAGGGAGGACGCGCCGAGTCTGGGGGCAGACGCCCGGGGAGGTCTGGGCTGGGGGTCTGGACGAGGGTGAAGGGAGCTCCTGGGGCAGGTGGGAGGCATGGGGGGGCGGGGAGCGGAGGAGCCCCAGCGCCCGGAGGTGGTGGCACATAAGAGCGGTGACAGCAGACGTTCTATAGCGTGTGCTCGGTGCCAGACGTTCTCCTAAGCCCTCGTATCACCTTATTTAAATCCTCCCAATGAACCCTGTGAGGGGCACCCTTACCACCCTCGCCTCACGCCCCAGCCGAGAGTGAGACGTCCTAACTGCCCTGGGGCCCAGGGCTGTGACGGACCAGGGCCCCGGGCCCGGGGTGGGGACGCGTGGAGAGGCTCCGAGGGCAGCCCGGGTACGAGCCGACGTGGGGGCATCTGAAGAAGAGAGGAGGAGGGTGCGAGGCCTGCCTCATTGCCCTTCCGTGTGTGGTTCGGTCGGCTCCCCTCCCCCACACCTCTGCCACCCACGGGCCCCCGGCCTTGTCGCTGTGACGGGGCTCTCTCTTGCGGGCAGTGGGAGCCAAGGAAGATACAAGGGCTGGGAGAGAGGCCGCCGAGGCCTGGAGAGCCGTCAGGGACGATGAGCATGGCTCTGACTGACTGGAGAGGCGTAGACGGGCTGGACAGACGGCACGGTGGGGGGCGGCAGCATGGCTGGGGACACTGGTGGCTGTTGGGTGTGGCTTGACAGGTGGGGTGTCAGGTAGGGGCAGATGTTGAGGTCGGTCGGCGGTGGGCAGGTGGAGCTGGAGGTCCCGAGGGCCCCCCAGGTGGAGACAGTTGGTTTCGTGGGTCTGGACCCTGGGGTCTGGGGGGGGGGGCGGTCAGAGGAGCCGATTCCGGAATGAAGCCCTGGGGAGAGTGGGCACCCAGCTGGGAGCGGGCGGAGGGGGTCAGAGAAGGAGACACACTGTCACAGAGGGCGGGTGGCCAGCGAGGTAACCCAGACAGACAGGGAGGGAGTTGGGGGAGGGGGTCCCGCGCCACGGAGCCTTCGCCAGAGCAGGATCGGGGACTGGGGGGAGAACGGAGGAGCATACGGCCAGGGAAGAAGTGTAGACAGCAGGTGTAGACAGGGCTTCAGGGAAGCCGAACGCAAGGGGAGATAGAGGGCAGTAGCTGAAGGGGACCCGAGGGATGGCGGGTCGTTCTTAGAAGAGATGACGAGGGTGTGGCACCGAGGTGGGCTAAGTGGGGGGGAGGGGCTCCTGGAGTGGGGGCGGGGCGGTCCTGAGCTGGATGGAGCGGGGGAACCCTGGCTTGAGGGAGGGGAGGGCATGAGATGGGGTCTATAAAGTCATTTGCAGGCTGAAGGAGGCGAGGTCAAGGGGCCTCTCTTCTCTGCGATGGAGGAGGGGGGCTGGGGAGGCAAGAGGGTCCTGAGGTTTGTGTCTCCACAGAAAGCCCTGGAAGAAGGAAGCCTAGGGGATCAGAGAGGGTGGGTGGAGCCGGAAGAGGACCCAGCACAGGCAGCCTCTTGCCTGAGGGGGGACCGGGGTCCAAAATGGCAATGTCCCTTCTCCTCTGGGTGTTCTGAGCGCTGGCCAGGTGCTCGTGTCCCGAGGAGCTGCGGGTCTGTCCTCCAGGGGCTCAGCTGCAGTTTCTCCGGACGTGTTCCTGCCCTGGTCCTGGGCAGCCTGTCACCAGGGCAAGGGGCAGAGCAGCTCCCAGATGCTTCCCACGGCCACCAGCCCCCTTCCCCCAGGCGCGGGCTGCACCTCCCTCCTCCCCCACCGGCTGCCAGGCCCCAGTTGGCCACACAGTCGGGCCTGGGTGCTTACATGACCCCCCACGTTTCCGAGCTCCCCTCGCCCCCTCCCTGGAGGGCGCAGAGTGGACCAGACTCCCAGGGCAGGCCTCGCTCTGGCCCCCCTCCCCCCACCCATCGGCTCTTCTCCCAAGGGAGCCCCGCACCCAGAGTCCAGGTCTCCCCCGCCCCCGCAATCTGACACACTTTCAACACCTCGGCGCTCTGATTTCTGAGCCCAGCCAGGACAGGATAAGAGGAAGGTCATCAGAAAGGGTGTGGACGGAGGGACCGCGCAGGCAGGCAGAAACTGTTGCTTAAACTTAAACATTCACTAAGAGGGTCGATCTGAGGTTATCACAAAAGAAACAAACAAAACACAGAGTTGCTG